TTTTCCTTTTTGTCTTTTTTCATGTCCGGCAATGGATCGCAACCCTCAGTGTTGCGCCCGCGCCCGTACCGGACCGGGACCGGCAACGGGATCGCAACCTCGCTCAGCCAGTGAGCAGGAACCGGTCTGTATGTGGGATCTGAACCCTCGACGGGAGCGCCACCGCGCTCCCAAACGGCGCACTGTAGCAGTGCGCCACCTGGCCGGCCCGACACTCCCTGTCTTGATACTGCGGTGGCTAGAATCCTGATCACAGTGCCAATTGTCTAGCTCTTAATCCTATTCATGAGGCCAATTGTAAAGCTAGGCGACCACACCAGTTGTCGGGCTATTTTACCTGCTGGTAATCCTGCACCGACTGGGCTGATTGTTGAGCTAGGGCTGGGTCTTGAGCTCCCAGACACCTCAAGCCCATTCACAGACTGGGTCACAAACCCTTCACATGCCAGGCTGGGTCCCCAGACCCCACACACTTCAGGCTGGGTCACCATACCCCTTCACGCAGGTCTACGAGCTAGGTAACAGGCCAAAAGGTCCCTGGAGCCATAGGTTGGAAAGCATGGCTGCGCTGGGCGGACAACCGAGGCCAATGCCCGTCTGCCTGCTTCACCAAACACACTCTCTCTCTCTCTCTCTCTGTCTCTGTAGAACACAAGAATAACAACAAAACTAAAAAGATACATTGGCGCGCATGCGCATTAACTCCACACACACACACACACACAATTTGCTTACAAAGGATGCTGAAGCACACCCAACTGGACCGAGTCAAGGGCCCTGACCAAACTATTCTATTTTCCCAACACTCCCTCTGGACTGATACCTGTGCAAGAAAAGGACTTCTGTTGTGTTTGAGCCATTATATTCTGGGCCTGTTTGTCAACTCAGTTAAGCCTACTCCAACTTACACATCCTCCTGACATTTTGGTTATCCCAACAGCTATGTTTAGTAACACAGCTGACTTCTCTGAAGCCAACTACTGTCCAGCTAAAAAATCCAGAGATGTGAGAAAAGTACACAAGGGAAAGACATGAGGAATCACCTGCACAGCTCTGCCATTGACATCTGCGCCGATGGACGCTGCTGTAGCAATTGTATTAGGCACTGTTGCTGTGCTGGTTTCACAGATGTGCATATAAGACATAGGTATTTTTAATTCACGACTGGCCACCTGTGAGAAAAATAAATATTTTCAAGTCCAGTAAGGGTTTCTATGAAGATTTGAGTCATTATTTTTCTCAATAAAAAATTACTTTTTTATTACACCCATGATATCCTTTAGAGAATAAAATAATGTGCTTTATACACATCAAAACTTTTTTTTTGTAGGACCTCATGCTGATTTTTCAAGTGTTTTCTTGGTAATATTCCAGCTATTGTTTTCAAATTCAGTGCATTTAGTATGTTAAGGATTTCCTTTTTTCTAAGTTTTACATGTGTAAGGAGTAGGACAAGTTGAAATTTTCAGGCATTTATTTGGTTGCAGTGGCAGGAAGAAAAGGAGAGAGGAGAGAGAGAGAGAGAGAGAGGAGATTGACTTACTGACTCAGAATTTGGTCTGAAATCCACTGACATCAGTATCAGATGGATTTGGAATGACCCCGAGAGCTTTTCTCCTTCTTGCCCTCATCCCATCTTAACTTTAGCTCCGCACCCTTTTCTTCTGTTTGTTTCCTCTTGCTTATATTCCTCTAGTACTTGCTATTCATTTTTGAGATTGACTTACTGACTCAGAATTTGGTCTGAAATCCACTGACATCAGTATCAGATGGATTTGGAATGGCCCCGAGAGCTTTTCTCCTTCTTGCCCTCATCCCATCTTAACTTTAGCTCCCCACCCTTTTCTTCTGTTTGTTTCCTCTTGCTTATATTCCTCTAGTACTTGCTATTCATTTTTTTCTTTCCTGTTCTTTTCCTTCCAGTTTCTCTAGCAAACACATGTGGCAATTAAGATATTTAATCAAGAAGAAATGAAAAGAAAAAAATGAAAAGGAGAAAAGGAAAAAAGCATTATTCTGGCTGCTGTTGTCTTTAGTTTTTGCAAAAAACACCAAGATGTCTGTAGGTATATAACTGTTCTTTCTCCCAAATGCTAATGTTCTGACTAATACCGTTCAATATTGTTTCCCCAGTAAAAATGCAAAATGAAAAAAATAAAGGATGATTTTATTGTTTCTTGGTGATGAAAATCCAAAGGCAATTTATTGGTTTATATAACTGGGAAGGATAGATGGATCCAGTGTCAGGTATGTCTGTATCTAGGGGATTTATGGTCTCATCAAGGTCCTCTCTCAGCCTCTCACATTTGCTTTTCTTTCTACAATGGCCATGTTATTTACAACAGGACAGTCTTCATCCATGGCATGGAACTGCCTCTGGTAACCCGGGGCCTACAGCATAATACCTAAACCGCAGGGGAAAGTTAGTTCCTTTCTTTCAGCATCTACACACTGGTGCCAGGAAAGGGCTCTGATTGGCCTTGCTTGAGTCATTTGCCTTATTCCTGGAGCTAGTGGGGTTTGGGAGCCATTTATTGATCAGACCTGGGTCCTGGGCCTATATCTGTGGCAGGTGTGGGAGCAAGGAAGGGTATGGGGCTAAAAGGTACCTGAACTGAAGAGTCCATCGGAACTACATGGAATGTGGGAGGTGTAGTATTCCAAAGGAGCCAAGGGGCTGGAGAGTCAAAAGTTACAGATGTGCACTATAACAGCTTAATAAATTTGTCATAAAGTTAAATTTATTCAATTTAAAGAAGTATTTTTTTCTTCTGAGATTATATTCTTTGTGTATATGCGTGTGTGATAAATACCCTTTAAAAATTATAGGACGATGACAGTTGTTGAAATACTTATCCTTACTTGTCAAAATAAAACATCAGCAACCTAATGTTATTGTGTAAAATTTAAAAATTAAAAAAAGAAAAGCTGAGAAGCTCTTACTCTTGGTAAGCGTGCACGGAGCACCCGCCACATGCTCCATGGGCTCCTTAGTGGTGTTCTCGGTAACAAGCACCACCATCTGTAAACCCCCGCCAAGCTCCAGAGTATCTGCACATGCACAGGATTTCTGCTACTTCAGCCATTCTAGTTGACATGTAACAAGCTTTTCAACTAAATAGTCACGATCTCAGGGTTTGAATATACGGAGGCATCATTTACGCTAAAAGATGAGTCCCAAATTTCAGTCATGTCAACATGCAGAGAGAGATTAATGGTTTAATTGCATTTATTTTACCTGTAGCATTTTGGTGTGAATCCCTTGTCCCAGTTCGTTGCCTCCATGTGTGACCAACACAGACCCATCTGTGTAGATGTGAACAAGTGCAGCTGCCTAGTAAAACAATGCAGAAGGCAGAGCTCAGTGCAAGCAGGCATTTAGTGGGTTTCATATAAAAAATGAATCGAAATGCCAGTCACATGGGGTGGGGAGGGTCAGAGAGGCAAGCTTTCCTAGACACATTCTGAAGCTTAGTTCTGTTTTGTGCAAAAAAAAAAAAAGAGTCACTGGCGAAGAACATTCCTCCCAGTTTTAGTGAGAGCCTCTTTGGATATCTCAGGAATTATATTGGTCCCAACTATTTGAAAGTTACTCCCCAGCTTAAAATCACTGGCTGACCATTAAATTAGTTAATTAAACCTTTGCAAGTATGTGCACATAGTACGTGCCAACCTGTGCTCAGCTCTAGATATATAAAGATGTAGAAGCTCATTCTTCTTTAGGTAGCTCTCAACACAGTGGAGAGACAGGTTGAAAATAAGCCACTACCGTGCAGAATGATCAGGGAGATAATGGTTGGCACGTGGGCCCTGGGAGACCTGGGAGGGCAGGTCCACCTCCTCTCTGCTCAGGGATGGGTTCCCCAAAGTGACCACTGAGTGGAATCATGAAGGGGAGAAGGGTTCGCCAGTAGGCAACGTGGGCAAAAATGCTCTGTTGCTTATGCAAGAAAGCCCTGCTCCTTATTACAACATGAGGCCCTTCGGGATTGGGCTCCTGTACTTTCCTGGCTTCATCCCTGTCCCTCCTGCCATACCCCTGAGTCCCGCCCCCACTTCCCCTTTCTGATCTAGGCCCTTGCTTGTGCTCTTCGCTCCTCCCGGCCACCTCCTCCTGCTCCTCACCTATCTTCCCAGCCCTCAGACCCACACCCCACAGTCTCTGTTCTGTTACCACTTCCCCAAATGTTTCTCATCCCTTCTGGGAAGGATCAGTCACCCCCATCTCTTTCTTCCCCTTACAGGAAGTACTGGGTTGAAAAGTGCACACACACACCCCCCAACTTGTGTCCGCCTGGAACCTCAGAATGTAACCTTATTTGGAAATAGTCTTTGCAGATGTAATTAGTTAAGATAAACTCATACTGGACTAGGGTGGGCCCTAAATTCAATGACTGGTGTCCTTACAAGAAGGTCAAATGAAGACACCAGGGAAAATGAGCATGAAAAGATGGTGGCATTGATTGGATTTATGCTGCCACAAGCTGAGGGACACCAGGAGCCACCAGAAGGTGGAAGAGGTCAGGAAGGATTCTTCCCTTTAGACTTCAGAGGGTGCATGGCCCTGCTGAAATCTTGATTTTGAACTTCTAGCCTTTAGAACTATGAGAGAATAAATTTGTTTTAAGCCACCCAGTTTATGGTACTTTGTTATAGAAGCCACAGGAAACTAATGCAGGGGGTAATGAACTCTTTTCTGAGAGTCTCCCCAAGGAAGGGCACCTAGTCTTATGCACCTTTGTGTCCTTGTAGAGCCTTTTGAGGAGGTCTGAATTGCAGAGACAGTATGTGAACGTTTGCTAAACTGAATAAATATAAACGTTGTATTTTTTCTTCCAGGAGGAGGAGAAATGAAGACTTCATTCCATTCCTGTCTGGAGATGCCTGGAGGCCCAGGATGGCTTGGATGGCTTGGATGGGCTTGGGTAGCATCAAGGCTTGCAGGTGCTAATAACAGTCTTTACCCACTGTGGGCCTTTGACTCCTTCTGAGGACAGTGTTTTCATTGTCAGCTGAAAGACTAGGTGTCCCAGCTTTGTGAGTCATCAGCTGACCTGGAATAACACACTTCTACTCCTAGCCAGGTGATTCTTGGGTGCATCAATTTATAACTCGTCAGGGAAGCTGGAGGCCTTTCAAATGGGGACAAAGTCATTGCTGGATTTAAAGATTTTTTTTGTGAGTGGTGAGATGAGAAGTTGGCTCTAGTGGATAATGGCAGAAAGTAGGCTGTGGTTCAGGTGAGTGGCCATATAGGTGAAGGGAGATGTGGTATAATAAAATATAAATATTTGGTTTTTGTCCCTGGTTCTTGGTACAGAGCTCCTAAAACCGTGGAATTTACTCTTTTGTTTGCTAATGAGATGACTCACGAGAGGGGGACTAGATAGCTTCAGGTGGAGAGGGGTGGGATGGTGTAGATCTTTCAGCCCTGCCCCCCACCTCCTTGGGAGGAGGACTAGAGACTGAGTTCGATCACCAATGGCCAAATGATTTAAATTAATCAATCTTGCCTAAGTAATGAAACCCCCATAAAACCCCAGATGATGGGGTTTGTGGAGATCCCAGGTTGGTGAACTCCTGGAGGTGCTAAGAGGTGCACCTGGAGAGGGCAGGGATCCCCGCACCCTCCCCCACACCACACACCATGTCTCTGTTCCAACTGGCTGCTCCTGAGTTGTATCCTCTGTAAAATACTGGCAATAGTCATTAAGTAAAGAGTTTTTCTGACTTCTGTGAGTTGTTCTAGCAAACTATCAAACCTGAGCAGAAATGTGAGTAGCCTGGGCACCCCATTTGCAGCTGGTGTCTGAGGCTTGTGGGACTCAGCACTCGACTGTGGTGCCTGTGCTAATTCCCGGTAGTGTGAGAACTGAACTGAATTGTTAGACACCCTGGTGTTGGAGAATTGCTTTGGAAAAGATACAATATTTGATGTCAGAGAGAAACCACAGGCAGCTATCCAGGGTCTCTGCTGCAGCCGTTTATTCAGTCCAGGTTGTAGACATGACAGTTAACCCTCTTGTGCCTGCTTCTAGAAGGGGCACACTGGACCTGAGCAGGCATGTGAAGCCGAGGGAGTCTCATGCTACCTACCCGAGGAGCAAGAGCCCCAGAGGCATGTCTTAGCTCTCCTGGGGAGAGGCTTAGAGCTGCTCAGGGAAACGTCCTCAGTGTTCCAGGAACCTGGCAAGTGCTCTACATTCATTATCTCACTAAATCCTCATCAGTCGTAAGAGAGAGTTATTATTAGTCTCATTTTACAGTCAAGGAAGCTGAGACTCAGAGAGGGTAAATAATTTGTTTAATGTCACACAGCTAGTAAATGGCAGGGCCAAAGACTTCTCAGGTCCTCCTGACTCCAGTTTATTAGGGATTTGGCGTAACTGCTCTTTTCCCTAAGAAGGATTTCCTTTGGCAGGGCAGCGTGTGTGTGTGTGTGTGTGTGTGTGTGTGTGAGAGAGAGAGAGAGAGAGAGAGACAGAGAGAGAGAGAGAGAGACAGAGAGTAGCTATTGGCTGCCAGTAGCTGGGTACAAAGGAAGAATGCTTGAATGCTTTCAATAGTGTACACACAAGGGGATCTAACACATGTAAGATATTCCCAGTTGCTGGGTTTTCTGTTTTTGGTGGATGGTAATGGAGAGGCAACATCCATTCTCAGTTTTCTAAACATGACCCACTGGGATTGTAGGGAAGACTTGTCTGTCCCAGTCCTCATACTAAAGAGACTTGCCTACACAATGACCGTTCTCCTCCCTCTGGGCAGGGCCTGTGAATGACTTGCCTCTTCCTTTTGCAAATTTACTCAGGAGGATTATTGCACCCTACTCCCATTTCCCCACCTGGATTGACACAGATTCCTGGGAGAGGTGGCTCAAAACTGCCAGCTGGTCAGAGCAGAGTGGGATGAATTGTCTGCCTAAGACTTAGCAGGTGCACCAAGGAGTGCTGTGGGTACTGGAGGGTACGGCCCAGGGAAGCCCCGTTGTTCCCCATGTGGTGAGAGCACTGCACCTCAGAAAGCACTGCACCACAGGCCTGTGGGCTCATGTCCCTTTTTGAATAGCAGGGAGTCCGTGGGGACTGTTACTTTATTCTGGCAGTTATGCTGCTGCAGGTCTCATCTTGCTGATGCTGTTTTCTGTCATTGAGACCTTTTTCTGCTGCACTCTGTTAAAAGTGCTTGCAGGTTGGGGGCTGCTTAGGAGAATTCTGTACATTTCTCCTAGGTGCTGGCAGGCAGGGGCTCAGTGCTCTGGGAAATGTGACATTCTCTCAAAGTCGCCACAAGCTGATTGGGTCAGGATGGTGTCTGGCATGAGGGTAACTTACCACATATGAATCTTACCTGATGATAGCTCGTTGCTGCAAAGCCGACAGAAAACTTCATGGGGATAATAGCAATGCCCTTCTTCTTCCAATAATTCTTCTTATTGAACTCTTCCACTTGCATTCTTCTGCTGTGAAAGGAAGATTTGTCCAGACATTCGTTCCAACATCGTATCAGGTTCTCAGGGTTGAATGCTTGTTTGTAGACGGTTTTATCAACTGTTTTGTACATGTTTTTCTCCCTAATCTGAAATGGGTGGGAAATCTCATCAATAGTTATGGTAAGACAGAAACTGACTGCCAAACAGAGACTAGAAAAAGCCTCTCCACTAAAGCACAAACATTGGTGGGGAAAAGACAGAGTCTGTTTCTTCTTTTTCTTTGAACAGCATGTGCTTTTGCAAAAATAATGGGGGTTATTTTTCATCTCTTTGTCAATGTGCCAATCCAGGTCTCTGCCCCCTGGAAGTCAAAGGTAGTGAGTGGGTAGTGACTAGCCCATGAAAGACAGTAGGATCGAGGGGCCTAGGGAGGCAGGTTTTTTTTTTTTTTCCTCTACAAGTTTCTGAGGATGGAGCAGAGCTAATATACAGTATATTAAAGCAAGGATTTATTGTTATAACTGAAGATTTGTTCTGCCAGAGAGGAATAGCACTGCAGATAATGACAAATAGCAGATCTCCTCTAAGCCTTCCAATTGCCTTTGGAATGTATGGTTAAACCGTTTAAAATTTTTTTTTGAATAGGGTGTTTTTTATGTCCTGGGAAATTGCAACACTCAGCAAAGAAGGAGAGCCTGCTGAGATATGCCCAAGAGTTTTTCATTATCCCCATTTTATTCTAGTAACAATAAAAGAATCATTATTATCAGCAACAACATTGGAATAACACTATCCAGTTTATAAAAACAAATATTTTAATGATTGTTAACTCATCTGATTCTTGCAGGAACTCTGTGAAGTGAGTCATTTCGTCCTGATTTTATAGATAAGGAAACTGAGCCACAAAGAGGTTGCTTCTCCCCCTTCATGCTCTTCCACTTGCCTAGATTTCCTTTCCACCATGTACTGATAGTGTATTGATAGTGGAGTGGCTGAACAAATTGTGGTACATCTATATTAGATTCAATCATGAGAAAGAATGAAGTAGATCATCCTACCGACATGAAAAGATGGCCGTGGCATATTGTCAAGTAGAAAAAGGAAAGTGCAGAATAATATGTATATTATGGTCCCATTTTGGTATATTTGCACATATGAAGTTACTTTCCACGAACAAAAAGTTTGTGGAAAATAGAATTAAAACATAATACAAGTTTTTCCATGAACTCTTTGAAGACCCCTTGTCTATGTTATATGTCAATGTTTATGTATGTGTGTGTGAATACAAATGGGTAGATAGAGACAGAAAAAGGGTTAGAACAATAAACACGGAACTGTTAACAATGATTACCTTTGTCCAATAGGGATAGAAGGGATAAAAAAGGGGACAGTAACTTTTTATTTTGATTACTTCAGTGTGGCCTGAATTTTACACAGAGTAATTATTTTTGTACAAATTTATAAAAAAGAAAAACAAGGAGCGATTATAAGGGAGGGAGGAAAATAGGGGGAGGTTAGTGCTTTTAGTTAGCTCTTGATTTATTTTGATTCTGAGCCAGGGCTAATTTGCCTGGTTCTAGTGTGTTTTCTTGGGTTAAGGTAGTTGGTTCCCACCTTGTCTGATTCTTCAGCCACCTTGGTTATGACCTTGATTACAACCTTACCTTTTCTGGCGGAAGGCCACATTTGGCTGCCACAGCTGTGATGCAAGATTCTGTTACTAGGGTTCCTTGTGGGAAGCCAAATCCGCGAAAGGCTGTATTGGATGGCAAATTTGTCATGCATGCACGGCCTCGGAACCTGAGGTTGCGGATTTTATATGCATTTTCCAGCTTTAGTATAAGAAATTCTGTTACCTAAAGTAAAAGGAGATATTCACAAATATTGGACACTACTTTTTTTCTTTTCTCTAAAAGTCAAGTACAGAGTCAAATTGCTTGTGGAATTTAACTACTTGAGGAAACATGCATCATAAGGACTCAGCTAGAAATTTTGCATTCTGTTCACGATCAAGGATGTGGCTGGTTTCTGAAGCACGTACCAGTTCCGAGTCATCCAGCGTGCATCCTCCGTTAATGTAGCACTCAATGTCCAGAACTTTGATTCGCCCAGTATTCATGAATCCCACCTGCACCAAATGATGGGCATTTTACTGATTTGTTTAAAATTTGCATGCCAAGTGTGAGTCACTGTCCGCTACTGGGCAAGACTGAAGACGGACTCCGCTCCCTGCTCCCTGTTTGCTTCACAGTGTACCACTCCTTGCTAGCCCCCCTTGCATTTCAGTGCTTGTCTGATGAAGACCTCTTCTTTTTTTTTTTTCTGTATAGATTTTTTAAAAAATGTTTTGTTTTGTTTTTATTGGTTTTGAATATTCATGGGGTACAAAGCAAATTATCACCACTCGTGCTGAAGATGTGATGGCTGGATCCATACTGGCAGCATGTCCATTACCACAAATTGTGATTATACCCCATGTCCCCCACCCAATTATCCCCTCAATTATCCCCAACCTCCCTCCCCATCCCCCTTTGCCCACTCCACTTTGTATCCCTAGGTATGTTCTCTCCCTCTGCAAGTACAACGCACCACTGTGGCTTTTTTTCCCTTTGAACTGAATTTTGCTCGAGCCCTTTCCCTTCAATGTGTAGTTTTCTGGCTTCACAGTCAATATGGAATCCTAAAGTCCCTGCTTGTCTCTTGGCATATAATTGCCACCCTCTTCTTCCTTATTCTCGGAAGATTCTCCTTCATTTTTTACTGGCTTGCTTTCTAATTTAGTCTGTGGTTTTCTCCCTTGAAAATCTCTGGAATTCCAGAATGCATTGGAATGAATTGCAGTGTATCTTGTTATGGGAAGGGCTCTGAAGCTGAGGTCCGCCAATGGATGCACAGGAATGAGTGCTATTTTACCAGGTGGTGAAGGTAGTTTGTAAACAGTTACAAGGCCTAACAAATGTGAGAGCTAGTGCCATTGTTGCTGTTTGGGAGGAGCCTAAGGCAGCTTGCATTTTCCCCATGTTTCCACTTGCCTCCCACCTACCCAGATCATTTTGTCTGTACAGCCCAAATTGAAAAGAAAAGTTCTCACTCCTGATTGTAGTTCTACCCAAAGAGGATTGGCCCTGGTCCCTTTGCCGTTCTGAAAACAGTGCTAAATACAGCTGAAAAACCATAGAACTATATGGTAATTATTATCTACTCCAAGGGAAACACTGGATAATAAACTACAAAGCAGTTAGGGAGTATAGGAAAATCCTCAAATTCAGAATTTATAGTAATCTTGACAATTGCTAGGCTGAAGTTTATTTTTGACTTTTCATGAAGAAAAAACTGCTAAGCAAAGTATTACTATAAATAAGGTAGCAGAGAGAATTCTCAAATTATTTAATATAAACTTTTTTTTTTATTTGGCAGCTGGCTGGTACAGGTATCTGAACCCTTGACCTTGGTTTCATAACACTTCGCTCTAACCAACCGAGCTAACTGGCCAGCCCTATTTAACATAAACTTTTAAAAGAATTTTGGAAGAACCTATTTATATGTAATATCCATTATACTAATTTACAAATAGTTCTGAATAACCAAGCAAAACTTTGTTAGCTATTTCTGAATGAGGATATATATATATAACGTACACACACACATATATACACATGTATATTAACATAGTGGGAGTGAAACTTATTTTCTTTAAAAATAAAATAAAATTTGAATTTTTCAAAGTCTATTTTCCTCTTTTTAGTTATATTTTAAGTACTATAATTACCAAAATATTAACAATCTTCTCAGTAAGTATTAGTACTAAAACAGTCTCACAGCTGTGATATAAAGCCTAATTTATAATTCAGGCCAAAACCAAAGAACACAACAACCACCATAACAACAGCAACTGCTGCAATCCCAGCAGGGTGCCTCTACATTGCTCTTGGTCCTAGAAGATAATAATAGCTGTGACTATTAATTTCTGCACATTTAGGCAAATAAAAAGTTTAATGGCCAACTACAGTCCCTTCCTCTTTGATTATAAAAATCACTAATGCCAATGGAAGAAATAAAATTGTGCTGCGCTAAGGAAAGCTGTGGCTTTAGTAAAACAGGGAATATAATTTAATAACCTAAGGTAATGACAGAATCAGATAGGAAATCTAACTATGTGTATGTTACAAGAAACTCTCAAATAAAGCATGTTTAGAACTATTAGAACTGTATTAAAACAAAACTAACAATTCAATCACAAACTTGAAAAGTAGTTTTCTTGTCAACTAGATACCAGCAAGTATTTTTAATAGCATTTATACTATAGTTGCATAAAAATGCAGTGAATGTGGTTTGAAACAATTTTAAATTTACTAGTTAGTGAATTATTTTTCTTACCTGCAAAGAGCTTTTGTGACAGTTTCATGACTGCTTGGTGAAAACACTTGTAAAAACTGATTTTGCAGGGCCGGCCCGGTGGCGCACTGGATAGGTGCGCCGCTTGGGAAGCGCGGCAGCGCTCCCGTCCGAGGGTTCGGATCCCACATGCGGACCGGTTCCCGCTCACTGGCTGAGCGAGGCACGGGAGCAGCGCCGAGGGTTGCAATCCCGTTGCCGGTCCCCGGTCCGGTACGGGGGCAACACTGAGGGTTGCAATCCGTTGCCGGACACGGAAAAAGATAAAAAAGACAAAAAAAAAAAACAAAACTGATTTTGCAGTTAAAATGATCAAACTGTTTCAAAACATTTCTATTGCAAAATAATATTTTATATTCATGAGGTTTTAGTATAATGATATTTGTAGCTTCATTCAGTTTTTTGTTCTTTTTTGTTTATCTGAAATTGTATTTTTATCATTGAACTTATTCATAATTATATATTAGATTTACTAAAAGTTCCTCAAAAAATTTTATGAGTATTGAAATACACAACATCTTCATTCAATATGTTGGATGCTAAGATTTTTTTTTAGAATTTAGCAAAATCAAAATAATAGAAAAGGATAAAGCTGTTAAAATAAAATGAGGTATTTTAATAATTCCATCTTTAATACTCACTTTATATTTTCCAAATAATGGGTGCCTTCCCCCAGTTATTAACATGTCATCTTCACGATCAAGAACAAGACGGATGGGACGACCAGTTCTAAAGAAAACAGATTTTAGTCAGATTCTCTATCCATTCCACTCACTCATCCATCCACCCATCCATCCACTCATCTACCCACCCACCCACCCATTTATCCATCCCTTCATTAAACTGTCTACCCACCCATCCATCTGTCCATCTATCTACCCACCCATCCACGATTCACCGTCCCATTCATTTATCCAAGCATTCATTTAACCATCCATCCATCCCATATAGCTTTATTGATTGCATACAATGTGCTAGGAACTGGTGTGAATGTATAACTAAATTACTATTGCCTCTGTGGTCTATAACTCAGTGGTTGGAGATCTAGCTAAAGGGATTAATGCATACACCAGTTAATTTGTATTCCTATGGCTTCAAATTTGAATTTCACCCAGATCCAGCCATTTTGCATATCCACACCACTAGTTACAAAGAAGAGTGTGAACAGAGAAATGCAAATTTAACACTAGTAGAAAAACAAGGCCAAAGGATCATCCTAGAATGTCAGGGTTAGCATCTTCATTTTCATCCATGAATGTGACTATGTTGGCCAAGTTGGGCCCTCAGATAGTGAGGAGCCTCAGCCTTACTGTATTTCGAGGGCAGAGGTTCCCAGATTTTGGAGTGCAGAAGAATCACAATGAGCACTGGTGAAAATGCATCTTCCTTGGCCTTTGTGCTAAGATTCTGATTTAATAGGTTGAGGAGGGGCCTTAGAATCTGCATTTTTCTCAGTGATTCAGTCTTCAGGCACATGTTGAAAACTGCTATTCTAGCCCAGGGTTTCCTGATCTTTAATGGCAAGAACAACCAGAGCATCAGTAATATGTACAGTTTTCAGGTCCATCCCCTGGTAATTCTGATCCAGTGCATCTGGGATGGGGAGGCAAGTATTTCTATCACCTCAGGTGACTCATACTATCAGGAGGTTTGGGACATGGCTCTGGCGATCGTTTCATGCACGGCAGTTGTCTGCTATGGCAGGTTTGTATCTTTTTTTTTTCTTTCCTTTTTTGTCTTTTTTCGTGTCTGGCAATGGATCGCAACCCTCAGTGTTGCGCCCGTACCGGGACCGGCAACGGGATCGCAAACCTCGGTGCTGCGCCCGCACCTCGCTCAGCCAGTGAGCGGAACCGGTCTGTATGTGGGATCCGAACCCTCAGCAGGAGCGCCGCCGCGCTCCCAAGCGGCGCACTGTAGCGGTGCGCCACCGGGCCGGCCCGCAGGGTTGTATCTTAAGGCACTGGTTCCCACACTTGGCTGCCCCATGGAACCACTGGGGAAGTTTTTAAATATATTGATGCCTGGGTAAGAATGGAGCAGCCTCAGCATTGGGATTTAAATGCTCCCCCAGATGGCTCTAATGTGTAGTCAAGTTTGAGAAGTTTTAAAGGCACAACACCTGATGGGAATACAATGAACCTGGTTATCCCTTGCTGGGTGCCTGGTGAGTATGAATAGAGAGAGGTTAATTATGGAAAGAACTGGAGATTCAGATCCTGCTTTTTCCCACTTCTAACTGAGGACTGAGATATATGTCTAAGTGCTTCGGGTCCTAGCTATGTACTACATAGAAGTTGTCAAAGGAAGCAGGACCTGTGAACTTTGCAGGCTGATTGGGGCTCTGACAAAATATCAAAGAAACAGCCATAGAAAATGAAGAAGAGAACAGAGAAGCCAACACCACCTAAACCCCAGTGCTGAGTCATGAACAGCATAGGAGTGGGCCTTCTGTTGAGGTTAGCCTGCAGCTCTCCTTGTGGGTGACTCATCTGTCCAGTGAGCACACACTGAGGAGTGCTCCTTCCCAGGTGCAGGGAGGCAGAATATGGAGAGCCTTTCTTTCTCACCCCACCCTGTTAGGGGGCTGAGAGTAGACAGGAAAAGGCAGGGAGCAACCTCCCCCTTAGCACTCCACTTGGGCAGGGTGTCTTGCCCCATCCCTAAACAGGTCACCTTCTCATTGCTAAGGGATGGGGAAGCCCCAGCCCTGGAGGTATTCAACTAATAATGCCACTTTTCCTTTTTACAGCACATTGGCTTATTTGAAGTCTTGTGTATATTTGACTCTTGCAATAACTCTAAAAGAGCAAGAGGGCAGATATTATTATTCACATTTTATAAAGAAACTGAGATAGGAGGCAGAATTGCCCAAAGACACACAGGTGGTTATGACAGCAGCCCAAGTGATGCTCAGGCCACTGATCTGCCCTCAGCTCTGTGCATTTCACACCCTTCCGCATCCCCAGTTGTACTTACTTGATGGCACCCACAGCTGCAATTGCCCCAAATACAGCTGGCCTTCCTACCTTCCCCCCAAAACCTCCACCCACTCGTTTTACATGACAGGTGATCCTGTTGATGGGGATGTTTAAAGTGGAGGACACTGTTTTCTGTAAAAGAGATAATGGGAAGGTTTATAGGAGTGAAATGGCAAAGAAGCTTTTTTGTTTCCTGAAATACAACATTACAGCAGATTTACCATTGGTAAAAAAAAAAAAAAAATGGAGGTACTCTGAATCTGTCTTTCAGGGATCTGTTTAGTTCATAAACATCATTCATCTTCACAGAACAGCCCTTCCAGCAGAAAAATGGTATTTTCCAGAAGGAAAACTGTTAGAGTCCTGGATTCCTGTCAAAAGCTGGATTCCTAGTCAAATGCTCAGACCTAAAGTCCCAAGCAGGTGAAAATCAGCAAACTCCTGACAACCTATTAAAGAAAATGATATGTGTGCAGCCAAACCTAGAGCACTTTGTGACTGGGGAAATGAGAACGTGCTATACAGTGATGTGTTGACTCCAAAGGTTATCTGGGATGATTGTTTTAGAGAAAAATCAAGTACAGAAATAATTTAGTGGTGTCGTCCAATCACAGAGTTCACCTGAGCGTGGTGCAAATGAGTGTACTCTTTGAACCTAAAGTGACTGTGGCTATTTTTTTATGTACTTGACCAGAAAAAACAAAAAGGTTCTGAGGTCTTGGCTGCTCTGCAATGTCTGATACTTGGATTCTAAGTTTCTGCAGCTAAAATGGCTAGTAACTGTGAGGCTGTGGGGATGACTGCCACGATGCAGACAGGAAGGTGGGGAGGTGGGGGTGATCCTGGACCTCACCTGCACGTGGGCTGGATCCTGTGTTGACACATAAATGTCCAGTTCTTTGTCCTCTGTCTTTGGAATAACAAGTACTCTTTGTGTTTCCATGTAAAAATGCTCCTGTCCTCCAACATGGACCTCTCCTGTTAAGCGCAAGCACAGGAAAACTGAAGGTGCCTGTTAGTTGGAAGCAACCATTTTGGGGAATTCAAAAGCAAGTAAACTGTGGACTTGTTGGCCTGGATTTGTCCTGATCGAGGAGCCAGGCATTTGTCCTGTGGCAACTGAGGGCAGTTTCAGACACTATGGTTCTGAGTAACAAGTTAAAAGTGCCAGGTTCTGTTCCTTACTCTGCCCTTGACTAACGAGAATTTTAGAATTTTTGTCTTCCATTTATTCTGTAGCT